TCACTAGTTTTGGTAAAGCTATTCTTCTTATTGAATGTGTTAAAGGAATAGCCGAATAGGGTAAATTTGATATTTGAGACGATATGAAGTGTGTGAACAGAACGGGTATATTTTCATTGACATGTCCTTTTTAGTTTTTAATAAGAATACATCTCTAATTTAAACTTTGGATTGGTGTATATATATATATATATGTTATTGTTAGAAAATAGAAACTTTAGTAAATTATTCTTAATTTATTACATATGAAATAATGTTTAAAAAATGATTAGTAATAATAGGAAAATAATATCTCTTCTAATTTTCTTTTAATCATTATACATATTATATGAGAAAACTCTGAGGAATTTTGTTGTTATTCATTACACAAGGTACAGCCTATATATATACAATTTCCTACGCCTAGGAGATTTAGTTTCAGTAGGAAAATAAGTACAAGTTTCCAAAGAAATTCGGGAAACTATCCAAATACATCTAGGAAACTACACATGCATGCAAGAAGAGGTTCCATGGAGATGTGGAGGTCACGGTTATGTGGAGATGTGGTTTCCTAATACTCCCCCTCAAGTTGGCGCATAAAGATTATGAATGCCCAATTTGCCAAGGAAATATGCGAATTTCTCTTTTCCTAGAGCCTTTGTCAAAATATCAGCCAACTGCTCTGTGGTTCGAACATGGCAAGTAACAATGTTCTCATGCCGTATCTCATCGCGAACAAAATGACAGTCGACCTCAATATGCTTTGTCCGCTCGTGGAACACCGGATTCGCGGATATGTGCAAGGCTGCCTGATTGTCACAATACAATCGTGCAGGTTCATCATGCGCCACCCCAAAAGACAAAAGAAATTTCTTCATCCACTTAAGCTCACAGCTTGTTGTAGCTATCGAATGATATTCGGCTTCTGCAGAGAAGCGCGACACGGTATGTTGTTTTTTTGTTTTCCAAGAAATCGGCGACTGCCCCAGTAGAACAAAGTAGCCAGTCAACGACCATCGCGTCAATGGGCAGCTTGCCCAATCAGAGTTGCAATAAGCATATAGAAGCAGATCGCTATCAGAACGAAACAATATACCTTGTATATCCTTTGATATAACGCACTACGCGCAGAGCTGCCTCCCAATGTTCTTGTCGTGGACTTTGCATGAACTAAGCTAGGATATGAACACAATAACATAACTCAGGTCGTGTAATGGTTAAGTAGATCAACTGTCCCACTAATCGTCGATACTGATTCGGATTTTCCAAAAGAGCGCCTTTTGCCAACGCAAGATGATGATTCTGTTCAATGGGTACGGATGTTGGTTTGGCTCTCAAGAGTCCACATTCCAAGATGATGTTTAGGGCATACTTCCATTGAGACAAGAAAATTCCCTCAGGGCCACGAGCTACTTCAATCCCTAGGAAATATTTGAGTAGACCCAGATCTTTCATATGGAAGCATCGATGGAGGTACTTTTTGAATCTTACAATGGCAACAATATAATTTCCCCCAATAATCAGGTCATCAACATATATCAGCATGTGCAAACGAACATTGTGTTTGCAATATGTGAACAGAGAGTAGCCAGGATACAATTGGACAAACCCGAACTGTATCAAGGCCATTGTTAACTTCAATAACCAACATCTGGGAGCTTGACGTAGTCCATAGAGAGATTTCTTCAGTTTGCACACTTTTGTTCGACCCTTAGATGCAAATCCTAGCGGCAACTGCATGTATACTTCCTCATTCAAATCTCCATGTAAGAAAGCATTATGTACATCCATTTAATGCAACTCCCAGTTCCTAGCAACCACCACGGCTAAGAAGGTTCAGACTATCGTCAGCTTGGCCACCGGAGCAAAAGTCTCATTGTAATCTAACCCTTCAACCTGTCTATTCCCGAGAACAACTAGGCACGCCTTATACCATTCAATCGTCCCATCTAAATTATATTTGATCTTATAAACCCATTTACTCCCTATTGCCTTTTTTCCGTGAGGTAGAGATTCCAATGTCCATGTACCATTATCCTCCAGAGCCTAAATTTTCATCCTCATAACTTCTCTCCATTTCTCACTTTTTTACTGCCTCAGAAAAACTGGTAGGCTCGGCTCCTGCAGTGACTACAGCTAAGAAAGCTTGATGTCTAGCAGAGAAGTTAGTACATGTCACATAATTTGCTATGGGATAGGGAGTTGTACCCGAGGGCTTTGATTCAGAGTTGGCTTGAGTGTGAATGGGGTCTTTCAAACATCGAGTAGTGTAGGTTACATAGGGTTTTAACAAAACAGACGGCGTGCGATATCGATGTCTCCTGCCAAGTTGCTCTTCTGATGTTGTTTGTGGTGTTGGATCCACACTAATTCCGTCCTCTCCGTCATTAGCTTCCACTTCCTGCACACCCCCTCCATTGCCTTGCTCATCCTCTCCTCTATGAGTATTTTGAAAGCTCTCCCTATCATTTGCACAAATATCATCTCTGGCACTCCCCTGTCTTTATGTCCCCTATGGCTGTGAAAGACATCATCATCAACTACGGCCGCAATTGCCGGGCTAGGGTTGTCTTCAAGAGTTACTTCCAAACCACCGACATATGGAAATATGTTTTCATGGAAGACTACATCGCGGGAGACAAAATATTCACCGTTCTCAACATCATATACGCACCAACCTTTCTTTCGTAGGGATAGCCAACAAAAACACACTTCCTACTCCTCGCTCCAAACTCATCCTTATCTCGATGACTCCAATGAGCATAGCAGAGACAGCCAAACACTCTTATTTGTTCGTATTGAGGTGTCGTCCCGAACAGTACCTCATACGGAGTCTTCCCACCAAGTACGGAAGAAGGTGTCCTATTTATTAAGTATCCAACGGTCAAGACACACTCCCCCCCAAAACCGAATAGGTAAACCTGCTTGAAACCTCAATGCTCTTGCAACATTCAAAATATGCCTATGTTTTCTTTCCACTCGACCATTCTGTTGGTGTGTTCCAACACAGGAAGTTTGATGTAGAATGCCATGAGTCTCAAAGTATGACTTCAAGCCTTTAAACTCGGTTCCATTATCACTTCGAACAGCTCTGACTTGCTTGCCAAATTGGCGTTCTGCCATTGCACAAAAATTCTCAACAATATGTGCTACTTCAGTTTTTTCAAGTAACAGGAAAATCCACACAGCACGAGAATAATCATCAACAATGGTTAGAAAGTAAACAGCACCACAAGAGGCAGGTACTTTATAAGCACCCCATGTATCATAATGAATTAAAGAGAAACATTCATCAACTTTATGTTTACTTTCAGGAAAAACTTTCCTAGTTTGTTTCTGTAACAAACATCACATGGCTTATCTCTTTCAGGTCTACTGTTTAATTTATCTACTTTAGGAAGAGAAGAAAATATATGTTCAGACAGATGCCCTAATCTGCAATGCCACAACTCCCACTCACTCATTCTACCTGTTCTATTTGCTCGAACCGATGCTGCTCCTCTAAAATGATAAACCCCATCACACTGCTCACCCGCTTCAATCAGAGTCCTCGAGGTTTGGTCCTATATCACGCACTTGTCAGTAAAAGTAACAGTACAATTTATCTTTTGCAATAATTTAGCTACGGAAATAAGGGTGCAGTTCATTCTTGGTACAAAAAGCACATGATGTAAATAAATATTTCCACCCAAATGCAAACTCCCTTCCTTCACTGCAGTAGTTTGCTTCCCATTGGGAAGTTCCACCGGACACAGTGTAATATTCCAAACACCAATCAATAAATTAATTTCTCTAGTCATATGGTGTGACGCCCCGGAATCAATTATCCAATCAGTAGAACTTTTCTTACCGGAAAGTCTTTCAGATTTATGTGAATTCAGAATATTGAGAAGTGTTGTCCATTGATCTCCACTCAGTCTTGGAAACCCGCTACGGTCATGATCATTTGTGGTTCCAACCTTCTGTTCTCCAGTCTCACTTCCCGCTGCTTGGGTAGCGTTTGCTCTTACCTTGTTTCCTCGTCCTCGTCCGCCGGCACACACGCTCGAACCACTTTGCCCAAGGCATGCTCCTTTCCCGGTGGAGCGCAGTCTATCTCCCCACCATTCTGGACATCCGATCACCTAGAAGCAATCCTTTGCTTCATGTCCGGATTTTCCACAGTGTGTACAACTCACGTTTTTACCCTTTGTACATGCAACAGCTGCTTTTGCACTAGCACTTACATGTACCGCAAAACCCACAGCATCATTTCGTTCTTCTTTACTCTTGGCTATGCTTTGATGCCTTTCCTCTTGAATGACAAGTGCATAGACATGGTTCAAACTCGGCAATGACTCTATGCTCAAAATATTCAAACGCACGGTGCCATAAGTTGCATTGTCAAGGCCCATCAAGAACTGATGTACCCTCTCTTCTGCCTTCAATTGATGGACTCGAGGTCCATTCCTGATAGAAAATCTCTGTCGCAGATCCTCTCACAAGTCTTTCACACTCTCTGTATATGATATTGTAGATCGCAAGGTTGGTTCGATTGTATTGAAAATCCATGCAACCAGCATCGAATTCACCATCCACCAATCTTCGATATCGGTCGAATCATCTGTTGGTTTACCCAACGTTCCGTCAACTAACCCGAGCTTTCTCTTTGCTCTAAGGGTGTTTCTCATGGATCTTGCTCATTTCTCATAGTTCTCACCTTTTAACTGAACGGGTGAGATGATCATTCCAGGATTGTCAAACGAATGCAAGTAGTACGGCGAGAAGATGGTCGTGTCTTTCCCTGCACCTTTTCTGCTGTCTTCACCTCCACCTAACATAATGGAAAAACCGTCAAGATGCCTTCTGAATCGCTGGTGTGCACTGGTGCGCACTGTTCTGATCCTTCGGAAGAAAACCGGAGGCTGTAGAAGGTGACTGTAGAAGAAGAAGAGGAACCGAAGAACTCTGCAGAGTTCTTGTCTAAACTACGAAAATCGGAACTCGGAACAAAACCGTCGGTTGCAGCCTTGGGAGGATTCTCAATCTCTTCTTGTCTGAACTGCAAAAACGGAACTCGTAACGGAACCACCGGTTGCAGCCTTGGGAGGATTCGCGATCTCTATCTCTCTGGAGTCTGGTTCTGCTTTTGCTCTGGATACCGAGACGAACAGTGGAACTTCTCTTCTTTCTATTTTCGATGGAAGTCTCGAGTCTGTCTTCTGTCGGCGCCGAGCAACATCGCTGCCGCTACTGATCTCTAGAGGTCTCAGAACACAGACCTCTCGCTCCTGTTTCTCGCTCTGATACCATGAGAAAACTCTGAGGAATTTTGTTGTTCTTCATTACACAAAGTACAGCCTATATATATACAATTTCCTACGCCTAGGAGATTTAGTTTCAGTAGGAAAATACTAAGTACAAGTTTCCAAAGAAATCCGGGAAACTATCCAAATACATCTAGGAAACTACACATGCATGCAAGAAGAGGTTCCGTAGAGATGTGGAGGTTACGGTTAGATGGAGATGTGGTTTCCCAATATTATATTATATTATATATATTATATACCTATACCTATACCTACCGTTATTAAAAATGAGAATGAACAATTTATCTTTTTCGACCACCCTGATTTTTATTTCCAATTTTACCTATTAATAATACAACTTTGAATAAATTGACAACTAATTAAATTAGTAAATTCTCGACCATTTATTTATTACCCTGCACACAAGAGAGACAAGTGCCCTAAAATGAATACAAGGACATCCAAATTCGTTTTTGCCTTGTGGAGAAGGTTGAGAAGCAAGGAACAGAGAGATTGAAACTTGTAGCATTGATGAAGTAATGGTTTTTTTGCGCTAGATCGAAAATTGCAGCATCCAAATTCTCTGTTTGTTGCTCTGCTTTCGGTACGCTTACACGTTTCCTTCCTCCAATCTCCCAACCATTTTTGACTCTTAATGTAATAGCAACTAGCTAGCTAGTCTAAATATTTCTCTCCCCCTCTCCCTTTTTTCTTTCAATGGGCTTCTTGTGGCAATTTTGAGGTTGCTGGTTAGGGTTCTCAGTTTCTTGGTGATATCTATGAACTTTTGTATTGTTTTACAAATAAGAAGAGGATGGCACCAGGTTCATAACATGGGTAAGATATCACGACTGAGGATTACAATTTGTTTATTCAGCAATAGACTACAAGCTGTGAAGCAGCCATGGTGAAATAAAATGGCCACTTTGGAAATTATCATTGATGGTAATACCTCATAAACCCTAAAACTAGAATTTTCACTTTTTTTTTTTTCTGCACCATTCTTTATTGCTTTAGGAGTTGATGAGCTTTGTGCCCATTGCTAGGCATCGGTGATTGTTTGTTGTGAATTAGGTTCTTTATATGTTTAAATTCAACCAAGTCTTTTCGCTTCACCCAAAGCATGTCGGGTTATGAGTAGTTTATCAAATTGGGTGAACTTCCACGGCATCAAACTTAATTGTTTGGCTCAACCTTACTTGGTTCCCCTCTTAATGAATAATATAAAAAGCATATAAATAAAAACAAAACTAGAAAAGACAAAGCTAAATGATTTCTAAATAATATTTCAATCAACTTGTTGTTTTATTGTTAAGAAAAGAGTGTACAAAGTTTCGTTAACATTTTCTGACATATATGCAAAAAATCCAAAGCTTTCTCCCATTAGATTTATATTTTTTCCCTTTTCATGTTGTCTATACATGGAACAAATTATATTCACCCATGAAAACTACCTAAATAGCTTGCTAGAACATTATACCGATATTTTTAGGGACTTCTGTAGCTTTTCAATTGCCCAAATTTTATAAATCCATTTCGATTTCCCTAAGGCCCCGTTCGCTTTTCACTAAGTTATTTACCCAGGTAAATGCAGTTACCTGGGTAAGTTTTTCTTGAGAAACACTTGCCCAGGTAAGTGCATTTACCCACGTTCTTTTATTTCTCATGTAAATAAGGTAATGACCATTTTATCTATAAAAAATCATTAGTAAAAGGGGCATTTTTGTCCCATTCAAGTGCTGGCAACTTTTCCCTTAGGTGGGAAAGTTATTTATCCACCTAGGAGATGGGTATCACTTAGGTAAGTGATACCCAGTAAATTAAACTTTCCCTAGTCCCTACATAAATTTGAAAAAAGAACATGGGATTCTTGGTCAATTGAAACAAAAATCCCATTGACCAACTTCCCCCCTCTCAAAATCTGAAAAAAGAACGTCCCCTGAGTTCCCTTAGTAAGCTTGTTCATTGGCAATTAAAAGGACCTTTTTTTTAGTAAGAAAAAGGAAATCCATTTTGTCTAGAAAAAAATTTTTTTGAAGGCTATCCTATTAGAATCTATTGGCTAGAGAAAAAATTATTACCTAGCATAAAGCTTAATTTTTTGCATTTCACTTTCCCCATACTCAATGATTTCATTTACTTTCCCCATAAAGCTTCTTTGTATTAACTTTGTGGCTATTTATATAGGGTTTGGATGAGGTAGGCACGAAGTTGTAAGCACGTTCAACGAGTACTTGAAAATTTTTTTGACACCTATCCCTTAAAATACCCTCACCCCACCCTTGAAAAAGATTAATGTCCACTTTTGACGGTTGTTTATCAAGTGCTCTTCTAACGTGCTTACTTTAATGTGCCTACTAGATCCGGTCCCATTTATATTATGAATACATTTGCATTTGGGTGAAATAGTCTAATTCTTGCCCTAGCCCATCTACTGGTCCAGCTTTCTTATATCAATATTGATTGGTTTTAATTTCTTTAATTTGTAAATATGATTTGACTTCTCTTTTTGTTCTCATGAATAATGATCATATTACAAAGCATTCTTTGAATCTTAAACACTAAATTGGGCTGGTGAATGAAAATGATGAATAGTTTCATATGGAACGATTTTATGCTGGTGTAATGGTAAAATGCTGGACTATCAATTGTGAGAACACTTCAAGTTTAAGAGTGACCACTTTGTGTAAAAAATGGCACAAAGGTTATGATTGTATCCAACCCACCCTCCCAAGGCCCTCGATAACTAGAAACAATATTAGGTAATGTCTTTCTCCAATCAACCTAGAACGAAAATAATCACACATTTGTGAAGCAATTGAGAGGGGGAAAAAGAAAGAAAAGATGGAAATGCAAAGTATTTTAGTGGGTAGGGGTGAGCAAATAGGTTCTACCCGGAAACGAATGGAATCGACCTTGAACCAATCCTACCCGATCTGTTACAGGGTAGGGTCTTCTGGTTCCAAACTCTTGTAATCAATCCCCACCCAGGCTGGTTCTAGGGTCTAGGGGTTTACCCTACTAAAACCGACCCCATGAACCGGCCTTGGTTGGCATTGACAGGATTGACCTTAGTAGAACCTGCCTTGGAACTGAACTTGCCTTGAAATAAACCCTGGAATACTTTTGTAGATGTGAAGATTTGAATCCAAGCACTCATGATTACAAAGGCTATGGTCCCACTTGACTATTGAGTTACTTTAAGTGACTAGTAAATGTGCACATACATTGAACGTGATATTGTGATAGCTTCAAATGACAATAATAATAACAATACAATAACAAAAAAAAAAAGAAAAACAAGAACAATAATTACAATTTAGTGTTCTTAGCAAAACCCATGTAAGAAATATAAGTAATCCAAGCATAGTGTATATTGATGAAACAAATGATCTATTTCACCAAGCCAACAAGCTATAGATGATACATTTATTTTCTTTTATTTTCTTTTTTATATTCTTCCTATGTCTATCATTAATCACAATAATTCTCATTTTTAGACATATTTTTGTTTAATATGATGAATATATAATATTAAAGACATGTTTAATACTCATGGTCAAATCAACTAATTAACCAATCACACCTGTACTTTGGGTCCATTTATCATCAAATTACTTGCTCATAAAAAGCCATTAGCTTGGCTAATAATGTGGTGACCCAACTATTTGAACCATTCTATTTCCATCATTAATAAAAATATTTTTTATTTATCATATTTATATTCTTGATATGATGAATACATAATATTAAATATGTGCCCATATTTTTTCTATATAATTTCTATTTATTTATGATCTACTGTATTTCTATTTACTTTTTAAATTTTTATTATTTAATTATAACATCATGGAATGACCCATATGACCTAGGTGGTTTGAAATGTCCCACCACTTTCATACATGGGAAAACCAGTTTACTTTTGGGTCAACTTTAGTGTATTCCACTATCATTATTAGTATAAAAAATATCTTATTTTTCACACATATTTTTGTTTCCAACTAAGCAAGATAATCTTAACACTTAGTTACATCCCAATGGGAGGGATAGCAACCCTCCACACAAATAAAATTTGGGCTCATTCAATCTAGAAAGGTATAACTAAATTCTACCCATTGGTTTTTAACCACATCAAATACTTAGTAGGTAATGGTTCCCAAGTTAAATTTTGGATAGATATGTAGTGGGTTAGTAGTCCTTTAGCCTTGTGATTCCCCTGTCTTTTTCATCTTTCCCTCAACCTTGAAAGCACAATTTTAAGCTTTATGTCAAATTCTAACTCAATTGTCAATTGACCTTTAATTGGTGTTAAACACTTAGAGACCATGAAAATTTGGACCTTTATCACTTAAAGTCCTTTCTTTCTGAAGTTTGCATCTTACCCAATCAGTTAGATCACAGAATTTGGAGTGCTCACACTTCGGCAAATCATTTTTGTGTATTGTAGTGTGAGCAAAAAGGTCTAGTCTTTATTTATTCTTTTTAATTTGAATTGAGTTAGTTTGAATCATGTCTGCAATCTGATTTCCCAATGGAGGCATGGAGGCTTAGAAAAGTGAGGGAAATTATATTGGAATTTTGTTCGTCAAGCTATCATGTGGACCATTTGGAGGGACTGCAACCTATACATTTTTAAGAAAAATAGCAAATCTTTCAAGGAGATTCTTGATCACATAGTGAGTTGTTGTAATTTTGGCTTCTAGTAGTAAGAAGTTCATGGGAATTAGTGTGGAAGATATAAAAATGAACCTAGTTTCATCTGTTTGCATACATCTCCTTTCTCCCCCTGCACTCTTAGTAGTTAGTAGGCAACCCTCACTTGACACAAATGGCATCATTCTTAGATTTGATGGTAGGTCCTTGGGTAAGCCCAGTTTCGTTGGTGTAGGGGAGTGTTTTTGGCCAATTTGAGGTAGAACCTTTTGGGATTTTAGTGGGCTTATTGGGATTACAAGTTCCACGAAAGTAGAGATCCTAGCCTTGCTCCCTAGTCTTCAAATAGCTAAACTACTAAGGTTAAAGTCCATTTATGATTGAGGGAGATTTTGCAAATACAATTAGGTGGCTAGCTTCCAAGGTCTCATGTAAGTATCTACTCAACTAGGCTAGGGACCTAGTTGTAGATATATTGACTTCCTAGAGATGGATTCAGGGAAATGTAACATAGCAGCTCACTCATTGGCAAATTTTGGTCTTTTTAGAGAACATTTTAATTATGCATTTCTACCTTAAGTTTAAAGGGCTCTGCTTTTCGTTTGTTCATTCTCCCTTTTTTTCTTAATTACTATAGCTTATTGTTATCCTTCATAAAAAAAGCATAAGAGATGTGCTCAAATGTTTTTTTACAAAATGTATATACTTTATATTTTTTGTATTTTTATCTTTTTAATTATTTATTATTTAATTGACATGCAGGGTTTCCTATTTGGTTTAAAAGGTTGGACTGTTAACTCGCCATTATACCAATATTATAGTATATATGTTAAATATACATACGACTTTTGGGATGGTCGGATTTATCAAACACAGGGTTTGCTTGGCCCGAGCCCCACTTGCATTATGTGCGGGCTTGACGTGAGTTTGATCTAGACTAGGCTTGAGAGAAATTTGATTGCCTAGGCCTAAGAATTTGCAAATTGAGCATGTCGGGCTGAACTAGATCATAAATGATCATCCCTATCCATCAATATCCCTAACCCCATGTTTGTAAAGCTAAGCATATCCCTAAAATTAGAGTGAATAGTGTCAGTTCATAGAAACAAATAAGCATTGAAACGGGTCATTGTAATGTATCTTATACAAAAAAAAAATGATGATCTTTTTGAAAGCTATAGAAATGGATGATTGGAATAATTCTACAAGTGTGCAAGTCAATTCCCAATTTGGCATAATTGCTTATTTCTTTTTGGCCCTTTGAGAAGGTTGATGACCAATTAAACTATAACCAGGATTTGGTCATTCGATGTTAACTTGGCATTAATTGAATACTTAGCATTGCCAATTAAAAAGAAGGGATAAATTGCTAATTGGTAATTGCAATCACCTCCTCTAAACTTTCTAACACAGTTGTAAATAGACCCTCTCTATTAGAATCCTCTAACAAAAGATATGACATTGCCCAAAATACCCATGCAATTACTCTTTTCTTTTCTTCATAAAGTTTGTATTGTTTTTCTATAAAAATCATCTTCAATAGTAACAGCATGGGTATTTTGAACATTCTTGTGTCTATTATTAGAGGATTCTAACAAGGGGCCTACTTACAACTGTGCCAGAAAGTTTAGGGGAAATGATTGCAATTACCAAATTTTAAAGGAGACATTGGTCAAAAATTTCATGGGAGGTTTCAGCAATTTACCTTAAATAAAAAAAAAACTCATTATTCATTCAATGCAACAACCAATTGAGAACACATGATTCAATGACAATTTAGGATAATTATACATGAAATAGAAAGACACTTGTAATATATCATTTACTAATAATGATAGAGGAGTGAAATATTAAATATACTTTGATCTTTGGGCACTTTCAATTACCATTCATGTTGAGAAATTATTTTCAATAATTTCAATCTTTAAATAGGTTTTATCAAGCATGTTATAAAATACTTGTTTTTACCTTTTTTTTTAATTAGAAGTTGCATGTTGCAATATGAAGTAAAACCATATTGGTGTACATAACGACTTCCTGAATAACCATTTCATTAAACTCACTAGGTGCTTGCCAGATCAATCATATTACCCTTGGCTAACATATCATCTACAACTTGTTCATTGTCAAATATAATGAATCCAAAGCCTCGAGAATGATTGATTGCATGATCACGAATGATCTGATGATCCACCACCTTCCCATGCTTGGAGAACATTTTGAACTTGTCTTTAGCGACAATTGTTGACACCCCACCAACAAAAATCTTCTTTCTTTTAAAATCCTTAGATTGTACAGAGCCCTTAGGTATGGTTCTTTTAATTTCAAGTTGTTTAACATTGATAACATGGGTCTCTTCTATAATCTTAACTGATGGATCAGCATAAGTAATAAACCCAAAATCCCTTGGTTGCTCGATGTTTCGATCTTTCATTATCACTGAATTGATTATCTCTCCATATTTTCTGAAATGCTTTGTGAATGTAGCTAAGCTCGTGTCTTTAGCTATCCATCAATGTGTTGGTGGGCTTTGAATCATTTTCTCAAGATGCACCCTTAAATTTCGAACCCATAACCTTTAGCATTTCCCAAATATCTAATGACCCAGAGATCTGATAGAGGAAGAAGATCAGGAAATTAGGTTAGGTAAAATGGGGTTTAGGACTTGCAAAGACTTTGTGATAATCAGCTTAAATATGTTTATTATACATGTGAAGAGCAATTTCAGTCTTTAAATATGTTTTATTAAACACATGAAATACTTGTTTTGTCCTTATTTATACTTCAGAAAATATTAAATAAGAGGGCAATTTTTGTCCAACCAAAATTATAGAAATATTATGAGAACATTTGTATATTTTATAGTAGTATAAATTTGACCATTTGTTTTCATCTTAATATTTGTATGTGTATAATAAGTAATGTAAAAGGTAATATTTACAAAATTTAAATTTAAATTATAAGTTTTGAACCATATAGTAATAGTCTACATATTAACTTACTTAATTTAATCAATAGAGATAATATAAGTTTTAAAATATATATACCATTTATTGAAAATCAAGTTTTTAAAGAACATGCTTTTTTCTCAATGGGGAGAGTAAACAAAGAACAAGTTCCATGGGTAGACCTTGGAACCGACCTCAAAACCACCAATACCAGAACCAACCCTTGAACAGACCTTCACAGGGTAGGTTCTAGTTCCAAAAACTTGGATCCAACCCCTATAGGGTAGGTTCTAGTTCCAAAAACTTGGAACCAACCCTATAGGGTAGGTTCTAGGTTCTACCATGAAACTATACTGAACCGAACCAACCCATGCTCACCCCTATTAGTAGGTGCATGGCCTACAAGGTCCTTTATAGTATTAAGTATTTTCAAACAAAAAGGCACCAGTACAACATTGCTTATACAAAAGTAAGATTTCAAAGTTTAAAAAGCACACCCTTTCATCCCTAAAAATAAGCCTTTCATTCGTTTGGTTGCTTTTGTGGTCATTTTTTATTTTCTTCAATTTTGATAATTCAAAGAATTCCTTCAATGGTTGTTACTTGCACCGGTTACAACTTCCTAATCAAGCTTTAACATGGCAAGACATATGTTTAATTTGTCTACTTTAATATAATGGAAATATATTTTTTTCATAGTTGAAGATTATTTTATTTTAATCACTTCAATTCAAATATATTTTTTTGACAACAAAAACATACATGTGCAACGCACGTGCACCCCGCTAGTATAGTGTAAAATTTATAAAGTTGTCAACCATTTATAAGATAAATAAAATATTAAAAAATTAAGCATGTGATTTAGTTTTTCATTTAGTGTGTTCGTATATTATACATGGGAATTGAGAATTTTAAATGATGATGGTGATGATGATAAAAATTTCAATAATGCTCTTATATAGGGGTGTTCATGTTCTGGTTTGGTTCAATTTAGAGAAGGTCTTAGGCTAAACCAATAAATTACAACTTGAAAAATTCTTAGACCAAACTAAACCATTTTAGTATAGAAACCAAACCACACCAAATTGCTTTATTATGATTTGGTCTGGTTTCCATTATGGTTTATGACCATTCTATTGGGCTTAATCCAAATAGAAAGCCCAAATAACATCTATATCTACATAAATAACAAAATAACTCAAATATCAAATTGAAATGTTAACAAGTGACACCTATTACTACTAAATAACTTTCATTTACAATTGCTCAAACACTAGTTTTAGGGGTTAGATATGTTCATGGGCCGGGTAGCTTGACAGGCCAACCTGGCCTAGCTTGACTTGACCTAAGTCGGGCTTGGATAGGATTTCAAACCCGCAAACTTGGGCCTAAAACACCGGGCCTGACCTTTTTTTAGGCTGGGCTCGAGCTTTCTCAAAAATGCCAGACCCGAGCTCGAGCCCGAACCCGACTTGATAATGTATTATATAATAAAAATATATTATATATATAATATTTTTTCTTTATTATTCTTCACTTTTTTTAAGTAATAGTGAAATCTTTCATTATTTTTTAGGTTTTGAGGTCATTTGATATAAATAAAATAGTTTTTTCTTGAATAAAAAATCAGTTTTCAATTTCCTGGATAGGCTCAGGCTCGGGCCTGAGTATATTGATGGAAGGCAAAAATATAAATTGCATTAATTTAACTTTTTATGACCTACACGAAAACCAATGCACACATCAACTTTATATTAGTATAGATAAACAACTCCTTAGGCATCAAATTACAAGTTGAAAATTGAAACAAACAACAATAATGTATGAAAATGAATACATACATACATATTTTTAAACATATGTATTATATATGTTATATACATTAATAAATATATTATTAATAATTCGGATTGATATGGTTTACAGTTTGGTCTGATTTCAATTTTGAAATTAGACGAAACCAAACTGTTGTAAGGCCAAAATAAATCAAATTTCCAATTTCGATTTGGTTTGTTGCAGTTTGACGGTCTAGACCATATAATAAATACACATACTCTTATCAAAACAGACATGGCAATGATAAGTAATTGAAGCATGATGTACTTGTGGATTTTTCCCTTTCATCCTAAAGATTTAGCTTTAAATCTTCTTGTGGTTTATATTTGATGAAGGGTTTTTTGGCAGCACCGTGTTGTTCGGATTACTTCCAGGTTGTCGTTGATTCAGAGGCCGAAGTGGAGGATTTTTGTTAGATGAGGACTTAGATGTTGAGCTGACTAGGCCGACATGGGGGGTAGATTGGGTGTCAAGCTAGGTTGATTGTCAAGTTGGGTAGCTCTTCAGAGAAACCTGCAAGGAATCAATGTTAGAGGACCCGAGGTGGCTAACCCGGCAAGGTTGCTCTGATAATTCAGTCAATATTGTGTTGTCTTGGTTGCGAGCTGAAAGGTTAAGTGTAGAGAGAGCTAGTGAGGAAATAATCGCGCATACCTTAGTCATGGGGGTTGATGTCCTTATATAGGCATTGTTTGGCATAGGCTTCACGCACCGCATTCGAGATTTCCTGGAGGTTGTGCTTAACTGGTCCGAGATCCTCGGAGGTAACCACCATGCACGTTGACCATTCTCTGGAATATTTGATACGTGGGCCAACTCCCAAGAAACTTGGGAACATTAGGATATGCATGCCAAATTTGTTGGCGAGCACGTCTCATAGGTTGCCACCTGGACCTCAGTCAGGCCGGCACGCACTCGAGGGAGGTCGCTCCTTGCATCGAGGTCACTTTGGCCAGTGACGAGGTGCTATAGGTCGGCCCTGGACAAGGTACTTCTAGCTAACCTAAGTTGTGGTCGAGGTCGCCAGGTTGGCGGTGAAGGCAAGTCACCAGGTCAAGGTGAAGAGAAACTACGATCTGGGACCCCAAGTCATTGCTTAGGTGGTGTCTATGTGTCATCTAGTTGTTCCAAGATGCCATGCGTCACGATGTAATTAGAGGGCCAAATCCGCCCTCATCAATTGGCCCCCACTCCCGAGCTGAGAGTAGTTCGGTGAAGGGAGTAGATTGTTCCTTTGGCCTGAAATTACTATTTGATGAGCTCATAGTCGTAAGCGTCAGTCCAATTTGCTTCTCAGATCGAAAGAGTTCGAGTGTTTGCAGCCTTACGCAGGACCTTGTCGTCTTGATTTTTGGGGCATAAGAGCGAATTCATCTGCTCGAGGAGGGGTGGAGAAGGTACCCCGAAGACATCTACCTTATTAGGGATGTGAACATCAATGGGTTTTGCAATCCGGCTAAGTACTTCAAGAGCAAAGCTCATCATGTCATCCTCAATAAGGGGTTCTAACTGCGTGATTGCTTTATTAAGTCGCTCCACCTAGGCAGACTTCGACGCAGAGTCACTCGAACTGGTTTTCAAAAGAGCAGCTAGTGAGTTCGATGTGGAGCCTAAAATCGAAGTGAAGAGATTGGCCAAGTTTGCATCCGTCATGGTGCTGAGAGTGAACTAGTCTTTCCTTTGTTCTCTTTCTCGTGCTGAATGCGAATTGATTTTTATTTCGCCCATGCAAAAGAGGCAACTGGGTCTTATATGGTGCCGAGGTCTTTTTTCAGCTCGGCACCTTAGGATTTGGGAGCGATTTGCGGTCCACTCTCCTTATCCTTGATTTTGCCCATGCCAAAGAGGCGATTGGGTCTAATGTGGTGCCGAGGTCTTTTATCAGCTCGACACCTTAGCCCTTAGGCTTTGGGAGCGACTCGTGGTCCACTCTCCTTATCCTTGATTTTGCCCATGCCGAAGGGGCGATTGGGTCTCAGGTTGTGCCGAAGTCTTTATCAGCTTGACACCTTAGCCCTTAGGCTCTAGGAGCGATTTCAAAGTCCACTCTCTTTAATATTATTTGGCTGATGTGCAGCCTGACCTTTTCGCCTACGCGAGTGGTCATTCTGTAGTAACTTCTCATATGGCTACTTCTACGTCATCCTGTAGGATTATCTTCCTGGGTGAGTGCTTGTGAGACCATAGCGTACATGTTCTGCCCCCCCCCCCCCCTTGCGAGGGCATAATATTGTTGTGGGTGTGAGTCAGCAGTTCAAGGCCACGGCTGCACTGCATCAGCCTCGTAATGACGCCAATCGTCCACTCCTACGAGAAGCCATAGGGAACTCAACCTGCGGGAGCAGCTCTACTAACTGTAGATCGCCGACTCGCTCGGGAACCTTGAGGGGCTCGACTCGCAAGGGCGTTTACATAGTTTGTAGGCCGCTAACTCCAGCGGGAGCCATGAAGGGTTTAATCTATAGGGGAGACCTCACGAAGAGGACTGATGACGCTTATCCGGGCTAAAATAAAGTCGGCAAAGCTGCTTAGTCTGTTGGCCATCAACTTCATGTGGGAACCATGATTGGCTCAACCTGCGGGGACAGCCTTACTCCGAGGTGCTTGTCGTCAGACTACTGGTTGTTAAGGTCGTTCTACTGCTGCCTAT